ATTAAAATCACCAACAATAATTTAATTAAATTCATCTAGACTAGAATATGCATCAATTAAAAATAATTCTAATTGTTCAATACCATTAAGAGAAAGTTCAACGTGTACGTCTGGGAGTTTTCTGGCGGTATATACACAGCTGCTAACAGAATATCTGTGTCTGAACCAAAAACAATTTTGTCTAGAATAATTGAAACTACATTTTTGGATTTCTCGAAGACTCGCTATATAGTCGGCAACAAATATACATACCCCGCCACAGTATCGACCAAAACGACTGCGTTTAACATTAAATTTTGAAAAACATTTGTACATGGGGATAGCATTTTCAAACTCGCACTCCGATTTTGCCTATGTTTCGTTTAAACACACAATCGGATAAGTGTTGATTAACGACATGATATCAATGTTGCCGAGCTGTTTCGTTAATCCTTGACAATTCCATGAAAATATTGACAGTGGCTTGTCACTCTGTCGGGGCCGGCCGTTCCCCTAGCGATAACCTCAATATATCAATTGATTGTTTAGTCATTTCTATAGCATGTCAGGATATTCAGTGGTAGTTGGCCAGTATCAATTTCTTCAATGATTTGTTTGTTTATTAGTATTAGTAACAAGCTGTCAAAATAATGCAATATACCTTTCATATTTTTAATAACAGGTGGTGAGAAATATTAGGACTTCATCAAACCCTCTGTACCTGTGGCAAATAAAACTGATCCAAACTTACTATGATGTGGCATATCCAAAGTTACACGATACACTGCCAGGCACTATGGGATGGCCACTTATCAATGCTGAATTCTTAGCTTCAATCAAAAGTCGAATTGATAAATGTATTGACGATTGGCTTCAAGGTCAGTAATTTTTAGAGAATAAAAGACGATGTATACCTATTATTATTGTTTAAACAACATATACACATTGGATATGACTGAGTTGCACACATTCTTGTTTTATGTTTGTGCATTCACTTTAATCAGTGATCAGCTATCGTCTGATATCATGGCTGCATGTGGTACCAAACAACCAATGAGAGTGCAATGTTTCAATATTGTCTGTTTAGTTTTAGTGTTTTAAACATTTTTGATCAATATTACTAAAACTGACGCAATGCCTGTTCAACTGATATCAAGAACCACTCATCAATTTGCAGTGAAATTTGGTACATAGATATTCTGGGATAATATCAGCAGACCCAATTAGCTTTTGGTTGTAATCCATGTGTATTACCGGTACCTAATAATATAATAATTAGCCAACTTCAAGCTGTTGCAATAATATCACTTTTCTTCCAACTTCTCCTAACAATCATAAAACATTTAGTAGAATATTTTGCAAGTACATGGTTGTTTGAGCCAACAGTTAGTGTTTCAGTGTGTTGGTGTGTGATTTGGTCAGTCCCTGAACAGAAAACCCGGTGTGGTTGGTAATTAATAAAAGAGGGAGTGGAATGAGTACAGTTGATTTCTTTGGCATCTATATCCAAATCCATAATATACAAAGTAGTAATGATTTTTAAAATTCATATATGCCTTCCCCTACATGTACTGTATTACATTTTCTTTGAATGAAATAGGATTTATTGTTTGCTAGTCCCTGCTGGTCATAGTTCAAATTGGAGACTTGACAATGTATTAAGAATTTCATCACTCTGTGCATCCAACATCATTGTCCAAACATGCCTTGAGTGACTTTGTGTGTACATGGGAAAAAACTTAATGGTATACATGTGCATATATCAGTTTGGTTTCATTGACATTTTTCAATTGTACTGGCCCATTTGGACAATTTTTGTCAATTTTGTTTAGATTTGATACAACAGCAAATCATAATGCATTTTATGTGCATGTTTCTTGTTTCAATGGAATCTCATTTACATCCTTGTCCCTTTTTGAGTCTTCATATGTCAATTTAGCCAAATACAAATGTTTCAATCACTACTTTTACCAACTCAGTATTACCACGTCTACACATGTACAACAGAGCTGGCTTGACTAACTTGGTAAACAATCGTTATCAGTGGTTTTAATTGGTCCTGTGTTCATACATGAATGGAACACCAGAATGAGGCTCACATTGAGGGCATGCTTTTAAGGTGGCGTTATTGTTTAAGTATGTGGTGCCGGTTGAGACTTGCCATTTTTGGACCTCATAAACTAAATCTGCTTATCTTGTTCATACACATTTCAACACTGGTTTAACTATAATGCTGGTCTGCAGACTGGCTTTTTGGCACACATGTGAACACAGTATTAGTATTTATTTTGCAAATTATTGATTCTAAAGATAGCCGAGTTATTTTGACCAATAAGACACTTGTTGACTCCTTTGTGCAAAGAAAATGGGAATATATGATCTAAGACAGAGATAGTTAATCCTGCTGCCTTGGGATTATACCTATAATATACAGATAGAATAAGTGATTTCACACGATAGCTTTGTTCTTTTTTTTCCATTGATTCGTTATATTAATATCACGTTGTTATTATTTTCAATATACAGGCAGTTCCCAAGCTGTGGCAGCATACTTAAATCGGAAAACTATTCCCCAAGCAGATCTGCAATTACTTGTGCGTTTTCTGCTTTTTCATGACATTCCACCATCAAATGTATTTAATAGAATCAAAAGTTCAGGTGAGTTTGACATTGGGAGTTTATAATTAGATTCTGATTCACTGAAACAATTAACCATATTGTGAGAAATGTGCATGAATTGTGTCATGTCCTGAGTAATTGCATTCACCACTTGTGAATACTTGTTGTTCACATTACACTCAGATATAATTTAAATGCTGCCACTGTGCAGTAAAGTTTGCATGGCTGTCAATGCATGTTTTCTACACAAAAATAAATTATGGAAACATGATTAAACCTTATCCTCTTTATCTGTTCTTGTTGTTTTAATTATAGGTTGTAAAAGCATTCCTGAAATGATTGAAGCGTTGAAGTCACTGCAACTACCTGTATCAACAATAATGAGACTATTGCCAGCTATCATCTAAGTATTGCTGAAACTACTGCACTTATTATTGGATACTTACAGGGATTCAAAATTATATTAAATCATGATACTCACAGCTTGGCAAAATAAAAACATTGTGATTCAGATAAACATGTCAATTTATTTTTTATTGCAAACTATTTTTTTTACATCTGAAACTCAACGCATCTGTTTCAGTAGCACATTTACTTTATATTAGTAGTGCATACTTGCAAGTATTTTGTACTGGATTATTAGTCCCCGTTCGGACGAAGTCCGAAAACGGGGACTTATAATTCGGTCTCCGTCCGTCCGTGTGTCCGTGCGTCCGTCCGGAGTCATATCTCAGAGTCCCTTGGACCAATTCCGTTCATTCTTTGCATGTGCCTAGTACTTTATGTGGGACATATGCACATGCAGTGGTTTAGCGATTCGATTCAAAATGGCCGACTGGCAGCCATCTTGTTTTTTGAAAATGTTGTATTTTGGACATGCTTTGTCAGTTTTCATTCAAACTTGGTACATAGATTATACATGTTAGGATACATGTCCATGATTTATTTCACAATTGGATCAAAGATGGCCGACTGGCAGCCATCTTGTTTTTTGAAAATGTCGTATTTTGGACATGCTTTGTCAGTTTTCATTCAAATTTAGTACATAGATCATACATGTTAGGATACATGTCCCCGACCGTCCGTGAGTTCCTGAGTCTGTCCGTCCGACCGTCCGTGTGTCCGTCTGTCCGTGTGTCAGTCTATCCAACGTCATATTTCAGAATCCTGTGGACCGATTCCGTTCATTCTTTGCATGTGCCTAGTACCTTATGTGGGACATACATTGTATGCACATGCAGTGGTTTAGCGATTCGATTCAAAATGGCCGACTGACAGCCATCTTGTTTTTTGGACATGCTTTGTCAGTTGTCATTCAAACTTGGTACATAGATTATACATGTTAGGATACATGTCCATGATGGATCAAAGATGGTCGACTGGCAGGCATCTTGTTTTTGTTTTTTTATGCGGTATCTTGGACGTGCTCTGTCAGTTTTCATTCAAATTTGGCACATACATGTACTTTATACATGTTAGGATGCATATCCATGACAATTTGTTTCAAAATCTGGTCAAGGATGGCCGATTGACAGCCATCTGACTTTTTGGCCTTACTACTATATTTCCACAATTTATGTACCATTTTCATTCGTATTTGGCACATACATCATACATATCAGTGTGTTTCATAATCAGATCAAAGATGGCTGAATAACGGCTGTTTTTATTTTGGCCATATTACTATGACACGAAACACGTGTTTTGATGTAAATAAACAATCTGTTGTATACGCCACTTGGAACTCAAGTTTCAAGGACACGCTCGCGACAACCCCTCCGCTTTAATATGACGAGCACAAAGAGAACTTAACGGGGACTGTGTCATTTTCAATGACTTGTTGAAATATGATTTATGATCATACATTGTAGACTCATCTTTGTCATTTACGTAAGTCTAAGTGCCATAAGTGTTCAATTTCAAAAAATATTGACGAAAAATCATTTTATATTCTCTGTTTCTTGCTTTTCAATGTTTATTTGTTTGCACCTTTTGGGTAATTTCCTCACCATTAGATGCACCTTTTTAAATGAGCTAGATGATGAAGATGACATTTACTTCCATTGAACATTGACCCAGTTTCTGATTATATAAAGCAGAATTGAAAACACAATATTTGGAGTTGTTGATGTAGACATTTCTACACTCAGCTGTGAATCACTATTTACCTGAATCCTGCATTCCTTGTTTTCATGAAATATCACAACATTTTCAACAGGTGATACAAAAACAGCACCGGTTGTTTATCAACCCGAGAAATGACCAATTTGTGATTTTAAAAAACCAACAAAACTGAAACATGGCATTTAATAAGATTGGGCTGCACTCTGAACCTTTTCAGGATACCGTAAAATACTTTATTGTAACTGGAATTAATTTTCGCTGAAAAGACTTTTTGGATGATTTGTATGGAGATTATTTTCACTGATTCTTGGTGAATTGAATGTAAAATATATATAAAAAAAAAAATGTATATTCGCTGGATTTTATTTTCACAGAATCATCCTTTCAGCCAAAATAAATTCCAAGCGAAAATATTACTACAGTATTCTACAGTAAAAGAGTTAATTATGCCAAACATACAAAATTGCCATTCCGGTAACAGTACCTCAATTTTAGTGCCTTTTTCGTAAAACAGTATTTTCCCTGCCACTGAAATCGGGCAGGAACCTGAGGTCTAAAAAAAGTTCAGGAATTATCATTGCCAACATCCTCTTCTAAAAGTTTGGAATTTACCTCTTTTGCCATAGTACTTTATTTGTTAGATATATTCCACAATTTCTGGAGTTGACATAGAACACTTTTTACCAGTAACATTGACAGGACACATCAAACCAGGCTCTCTAACGCCGCATTTGCAACATATATATATACACACACGTGTATTTTCTGAAATTTCAGAGATTTGTCTTTCAACCATACAGAAATTATGAGCTTTCCTATTTTGGAACTTGTATAATATGATTATGGTGATCACCAAAATAAACAAAGATTAATATAATTAATCGTCTGCAAGCTGAAAAACAGATAGAAAAATTATCCCATTTACATTACTAAATGAATGTTTGCCTCAGTGAGATTTGTCTTGGACATTTTATCCAGTATGTTGATGCATATTTGCATTGAAAATTAAAATTTGGGAAATTAGTGTGTGATGAAAGTACAAATTAAAGTGTTGCTTTCATATATGATTTTATTTCAAAATTGTTTTTTTTTAGCAAAGTGTGGTTTGGCTGTATTGAATAATTATCTACAATTACCTAACTTACGACCATTTTCTATATATCTGAGCAGTTCTTTCCATTTAGTGGGCGAATACGCCAGCAAGTTTGTATTGGATGCAAGTGTATCTGTTACTGAAGCAATATTTTTTGTTTTTGCTGTTCAATTCTCTCGTGGCGAGAGTAAGTCGTGTCATGTTACATATATTGAGAAACCTGGATATGGCAGATTATTGATTTTTCCCTAAAACATAATTTTTGGTCAAAATCATCAAAAACAAGCCATGCCTAGCACAGTCCCGTTATCAAATTTAAGATATATAGTTTGAACATGAACATGTCAGAGGTATGGATCCAGATGTCTCTTTATGATGATTTTCTAACATTAACATCTGATCTTCAAGCGAGTACTTGTCCATATGGTAGCAAATTGCCCATTTCAGATCTGATCTGAAAAACAAATGACGTCCATCAAGGTACCATAATGTCTAATGTATGTACTGTAGATCACTGCTTCTATTAAAATGGTACAGTGCCACAGAGGGGATGTGGCTTCTATTAGATCATCTACACATGAGAAATGATGAATTTTTGGTTCTCAATTATTCAAAAATTTTACGGTACTAAGTTTGAATGAAATCTACACATAAATGGCAGATTCCGGTTCAGAAATTCTGGATTTTCTTGATTTTTTGCACAAAATGGCCACCATTCGGCCATTTTGAATCGGTCAAACCTAGGTTACTCTCAGTAACCATGGTCAAACTAATACATCTGTATATCTATGACATAATCATCTTCGCCAGCCAAGAACCATTTATTCGGCCCAAGCCTCAACATTAACCCTTGGCAGATTTCACCACGATTTACTGTATGTCGCATGCCCCCAAACGATTATAAGATTCACTTGGGCTCATTTGATTTACCCAATCAGAAATCATGATAGAAACGACATATTTAAAATTGTGGCGCTAGCTTGCTTGAATATAGAAATTAATGTGTTACTAGCTTTTTCTCTGAACGAGCTTACTGACCATCAAAAGAAAAAAAACTAAGTGCTGTTTCTAAGGGGAATGATGTGTTAGTTGCAACGAAGAGCGGATCGGACAAGTCAATAGTTATCTGTTTCAACAGTTTTGTCAGTTTACTAAAACACGGTTTGCACAAATATTTAACCATTGCATAGTCTTCATTCACTTGTCCACAAACAATTTTCAACGTTGGAATAACAAAAATTGAAAACGTGTCAACGAACATAGACCTTCTGTTCTCCAGGTGAATCAGCGCAGAGCCTACACACCACAATTGTTTTAATCTGTGATGACCCCAGGATCTTCAAATTTATGATACAGCAACACTGATTGGTGGTGCCAGCTCCTTGGCACGCCCAATCAAATGACTCAATTTAACTGCAGTTAAATGCAGCTTTTCCTAACACGATCACGCACAGGTTCGTGGGCCGGCTGTAGCGAAACCGTGATATAATGTATGATGAATATATATATATATATATAGCATGTAAGAGATAAGGCACTAGAACCATGTTAATTACAACAAAATGGCTACCAGTCGGCCATTTTCTGATGCGAAATGCTTGATTTCAATTATTTTTCAGCACAAAAATGGCCACCATTCAATCTTTTTGATTCAGATCATGAAACAAATTTATGTGCATATATATATATATATAATATGATGTATAAGTAAAGTTTGTATGTAATCGGTCCAGGCATGTCTATGATATAGGTCTGGACACACAAACGCATGCAGAGAGGTCAATCCACAAGTCCCTGTTTTCAGACGGTGTAATAAATTAGCCAGAAAACATGTTATCCGTAACTGGTGTAGGTAATTCAAATCAGCCTATTTATGAAGATTAAAACAGTGTCAGGATAAGTTTTATCACTCTTGACAATCAAGATGTTAACATTATCCCACATTAATTATATTTATACACGTTTTGAGATTAAACTAGAGTGGAAAATTTCAAAAGCATCATATTCTAGTTGAGTGCCTAGTAAATAAACATAGCTGCTCATTTGTATAAACACCTTCTTTTTGCTGGAATTCTCATGATTTTTTGATAAAGTAGATTCTGTATACATATTGCATATAGATTGTAGCTTTTCTCGTGCATGTGTAAACAACTGAACATTGCTTGTAATGAATATGAACAACAAGTAGCATATATTTTATAGTATCCACTGTATTTTGATTTCAAGTATCAGGGTTCCTTTATTTTTATGTTTTTAAGTTCTTGAAATGTTTTGTTTTTTTGTATGCAAGGAAAACGTTGTCGCTGAAGTGATACCTGTCCCACCAACTTCAAGTATTGCGATATTTGTATACAAAACCCACAATTTTGAAATTCTTTTCAAAAGAACAGATACCAAACAGGGTAATGTTAGCTCCATTGAGTGTAGTTTAAAAGCCATCACAATTTGGCATCTCCATTTTAGTTAAAAGACCTGGCAACCTAGGCATTGTAGTCTATTCTGTTTGGAATTTGTCCTTTAGCCTGGAAAGGGCTTGGATGATACTGGAGTGAATTGCAATTACTGCAACAAGGAATGTCAATGCTTTACCTGAGAGAAATATCATATGGTACAATACTGTGTTCTCAGTGGCAGAGTCATACTATGATTCAAGATTAAATCTTTCTGTAAAAAAGGGGTCATTTTACTACAATTACATCTGGCAACATTTATCAAGAAGTAATTAACCTACAAAAAGAGTTATAATTGTATATACCAATACATCACTACAGTCTTGTGCATCGCATTGCAAAATTGTTCTGATCCACTAAATCTTATGCAAGTTGAATGACAAGCTTTCATTGTTCTTATATCCGAAAGTTTGCAATGAATAAAGGAAACGATACAGAATGACAAATAAACCTCCTTAATTAGAACTACTGCAGATATGTATTTTCCACTAACTCGATATTGTTTACAATGAATTGAGCAATTTTGGATGAAGTATAAGTTTGTCACGTGACCCAACACGTACATATCTAATCCCTGGAGAACTATTGCAGATATGCATTTAGTATGATTCTAATAAAATACAAGCTGGTTGCATAACATCATAAATTATGAGAATATTTAATTCCAAGTGATTTACTGCAGATAAACATTAATTAATAATTTAAAAATTATTATTAGTTTCATGAATGTAGATTTGATGAGCTGCTAGCTGGCCATATGACCTCATTATTCACAAATGTATTTCCAGAATAACTATTGCAGATATGCGACTTCTGCCAACATTCTTAAATAGAGATTTAAAAAAATACCACCTTGAAACACTTTTTTGATTATATATATATATATATATATATATATATACCGTATATTAAATACATTATTAAGGTTTGTCCCTGGCAACAAGAATCATGATCTTTGTCATTGTGCTGCAGCTATGCTGCAATACATAACTTGAATGCAGCTCATTGCTGCTAAGCAGATACCGATATATTTAATAATAACTTTATTACACAACAATACCATCTGAAAACAACAACAAAACTGTTACACAAGTGAGTAACTAAAAAAAGCGCATTAATGCACAGTAGTTTTCAAGTATTTTGTTGTTGCCAAACTGTTGTTCATATTTTTTTCCGAAAATTGTTGTTTAATTCATAATATTTCAAGTCTTTGTTTTCTTTCATTTTTGAAATATACACAATCTAATTTGAAATGTTTCTAATCTAATTTGAAATGCTGTGGTCACTTTGCCAAAATTTAGAGAGATTTTTTATAATCTAAATTTATGAATTATGTCTAAATAAATTCAAAAATTTATCTCAAATAATAACCTGTGTGTTCTACGCTCATTTCCTTCACTTTTTTCTTTTTGGTCATTTTTTCTTTAAATGACTTGATGTACCGACACTTATTTATTAATATTTTCACAGTTTCTAGATTTGATTATGGCTATTCATTCCAAATTTATTTCAACATTTTCAATCCAATTTAAATTCATTTTGATCACTTCATTCAGTGCACATTTCAATTAATGTTAATTTTAGATGTACATGTATGGTTACTTCTAGCGGATATATCAGTGACAATAGTTGGTGTCAAATTCTGTCTACATTAATCATTTTAACAGTAAATTTTCTCCAAACTGAGAACGGTAACCAAATATTTTTAATTTATTTTCTTCATCCTTGTACCATGAAATATGTAAATATGTAAAAATAAAGAAAAAGTAGTTCCGGACTATTTATAATAATTTATGCATCATCTGATTTTTTTCTGAAATTGAGTATGAGGTTCATGATTGCTGACTGGACACTAATGTGAATTAAACCTCTTCACAACACGGCATGCTTTGCTCAGGTCTGCTTTCTTTTGAAATGAAAATATTGATTATCTCATGCAGAATTTCATTTTCGCAATAAAATTTATATTTATATTATCATGATGTCTTTATGAAATTTCTTAAGGTGTTTTTTATGGCTAGATGCCTTAGTGAAACGTTGACTGCACACATTACAAACATAAGGTTTTTCACCAGTATGCCTTTTCTTGTGTTGCTTTAGCCCACTCAAACATGGGAAACTTTTACCACATTCACATTGATACGGTTTATCTTTTGTGTGAATCCTCATAGTGTGTATCTTCACAGAGGTTGCATGACTGAAGCACCTATCACAAAGTTCACATTTGTATGGTTTTTCACCAGAGTGTACTCTCATGTGTTGTTTTAATCCAATCCGCTCCCTGAATGACATATGACATTCTTGGCACTGATATACTTTCTCCTGCTCAGTTGAATGTCTCCTTAAGTGTCCTCTCAATGCACCTCTCCCAGCGAAGCATTTGCCGCACACATCACACTGGTACGACTTCTCTCCAGTATGAATCCGCTTATGTCGTTGCAGGGTACTTGACAGAGAAAAACATTTATTGCACACTTTACACTGATATGGTTTCTCACCGGTGTGTGTTCTCAGATGTTGTATTAAGCTGCTTTTGTCTGCAAAACTTGCTTCACATTGCACACACTGATGTGGTTTCTCGCCTGTATGAATTATCATGTGTCTTTTATGGCTGCTAGCTCGGTTAAAACATTTCCCACAGATCTCACACTGATATGGTAGCTCCATTGTATGAATTTTCTTGTGCTGAGTGAGATGGGAAATTTTTTTAAAATCAGACCCACATTCTTCACATTTATGTGGTCTTTTATCGCCATGTGTTTTCATATGTTCTGTTACGTGACCTGGTGTGGGAAAACATTTATTGCACACTTCACATGCATTTTCTGAATTTCTTCCATGTGTTGAGATGTGCTCTTGCAGAATCTCCTCTTTGTCAAAAAAAGCGTCGCATAACTTACAATTATATCGTGCCTCTTCGTCGCGTTTTTTGAAATTTTCACTGATATTTGTCTCGTTGATAACTTCTTCTGTGCTCTCTGCATCCTCACCTGTTACCAATGATTCACGTTTAACTCCAGTACTCATAATATCTTCACCCTTTGTTATTTTCTCAGACCCTTTTATAGGCTAGTTATGCGTTATGTACTAAGGGGCATTAGTTTAAAGGTCATTTAATCGCAAGACTATTATGTATTGCAATTTATTTAGGTTTTGCTGATTAAACTTTGTTATCATTGTACACTGATCATGTCCCTTTGTGCATATTCAATTTAACATGTCTCTCAGCACCAGTGTCAAACGTTCTCAAAAACCTGACAAGGCTTTCGATGTGCTTTCGAAATACCCAAGGAGTCAAAGTCCCATCGCTAGGAACTCTGGGTACATGTTTCTATGCACGCTAATGGCGGACTCCATGAAATGAAAACATTGGTAACAGATTTCAAAAGATCGACTGTCACTAAGATATCTTGTTTCTGGTTGTTGCTAGCGATGTTTATTGTACTAGTCTGTGGTAAGTGATGAATTTAAGGCGATTACAATACTTTATTGTATGAGTATACCATATAATAGATTCCTTGCCTTTTGAAAATTAAACGGTGGCTAAAAATGGCTCCCGAATACGGCAACGCGGGTCATTAGGGGAGCTATGCTATTAGCACCTCTTCAAAGATTGGGAGAATGATAATTACCTCTGCTGGGCTGTGATTTGTGGGAGTGATCATTCGCCTTACAAAGTCCTGGTTGATCGCATGATAATAACTGACACTCGAGGGGTGTCAAAACAGGAAATGTTCGAAAAAACAATGAATTCCATTGATGCATTCACTGTTACATTTATAGTGGTCTGGGAGAGTACAAGTTTACAAACTACTACCTAGTATATACAGTTTACTGGTAATCGTATGCAAAGCACACAATGGAATGATTTACAGTTAGGGGTCGACCATTTTAAATCATGGGGGTGGCACAAGATTTGCCTAAAAAAAATGTAAACATTTTAAAAATGCATGCAAAGTGGGAAATGGTACGTGTTTGTACATTCAAGAAAAATAAAAATGTACAGATACATGTAAGACAAAATAAAAAATCTGTCACATTCTTCCAGCCACCCCCCCCCCATGATTTAACATATTTTTGCTGGTCTGCATGTGTAATTTTGTCTTATTCTTTGACCTTAAATAATAACAGAGGTACATTACTTGGGGTTTGCAACGCACATAGTTCTGTGTAGTGACATTATGTCAAGATATCCATTCAAGTCTCATCTCGTAGAGAACGAGACTGATGCTACGACCTTCTGACAAGACATATATCGTGAGCAGCTATTTTGATCTCCCAGTATCCTAGTTACCTTGGGAGTGCGCATTTGCATTGTTCTGGGTTGGGAACACTTATGCGAGAGCGAGATTGAAATGGGATCTTGGTATCATGTCACTCTACTTGCAAACCCCAAGTAATGTACCCCTGATAATAACAATAATATCTTTATTACACCGTAATGAATAATGTCAGTTCATCTTAAGTTGAAGTAATAAGTATAGAAAAGTAGAATACAAGACAATAAATAATGATGAAGATCATCGATGCATTATCAAATTAATTATTAATGAGTGTATTCTACTCCTACAAATTACTGCACTGCCTCATGGGATTGTATGAAGTTTATCTACAGAAGTTTATACTACACACATATTTTATATTTAATCGATTGCCGTTATAGATATTTACTTTTAACTTGTATGTTGCAAGTACATACTATTTATATTTATTTACTAATAACTTGTACAATGCAAGTATAGCGTTATGTTCACTGGCATTCAATTTCACTGTTTTAAGTAATTTCACAGCATTTTAAGCCCACAGATTTGTTCAATTGTTATTTTACCTGTTCGTGTAGATTAAAGTTGGAAAATTGCGAAATTAAAAATCAGTTTGGAAGTTGGGCGAAATGAGTACTGTAGTTCAAGTGATGTTAGCATATTTCTAATTTAGTTTTAACTTGTATTTATTTACTCACTGTTACTATAGCCAGAACGCTGTACGTGTCAGGTTAGTTCTTCTGCCGATTTCTCGCAACCAACAACAAGATTTTTCATTTGGGATTTCAAGAAACTTGACCTGAATCGTGATGGCATTCATACGCACAACACCTAACAATGTTTCAACTTATAAATTGTCAGTTAACAAGGTCTTTCAAGGTTTTTCACTTCTATGAGATTGACATACTAGAATGAATGGGTTCAATTATCAGTGTTCACTGATGACATCATTTGGCTGGCCCTCTAGTAGCCAAATGACACCTGGCAAAGCGGACATTTGTCGTCTGCTTCACAGCCCATTTTATACGCGATATTTAGAGCATTTTGCAGCACATACAAGTTGTTTTTATCGACAGAATTCATTCATAGATCTCAAATTTCATGTACAGAGTGTCAAAAGCCTTCCTTAATGCATTTACAGTATTTCTAATTATTTAGTTCTATCTCGTACATTGTACATGTGCATGAATCACTTACACTTCAGGCAAAACAAATTAAATTAAATTTATATCATGGTTACAATCATATAGAGTCTTATGAATGGATGTTCATGGACGGTTTCGGTCATTGATTTTTTAGGGAAGATGGATATTTTCTATTATGTATTTTGCCACAATAAAAATGGAGCTCACTACTCCCCTCACAATTCTATCTCTGGCTTTTATCTTTTTAGATGTTCTAATAGACTTAAGGTAGCAACAAAATAATCCTTGATTCAGATATTCTTTAAAAGTTACTAAGCATGCTTCCATAGCAACCTATACAGATTCTGAAAACTCATACATGTATATATGTGATACAGTAATGCATCTGCTAATAACCAGCTTTCATTATGTTTTGTTTTAATGAGGTGATAACCTTTGTCAAACTAGAATCAGCGACTGATGATAGTGCTTGAGTCGTCTCAAGTAATTCAGTAATGAATTTCAGTTTTCTTGCATTGCTCTTATCCCGATACATTAAATCGTGGTTCCGCAATTCCTGGGATTGCACCAGTGCATCCTGGGAGAAATGTAATTTAACTGCATGGCTGTTTAACTCATCAACTTTTAGGCAAGAATTGTGCTTAAATTTTGCTCAACTAGTAAACTAACTTCATGATTGTATATGACAGAAAAAGAAAATTATATTCAAGTATTCCTTGTATTCTGATTATCAGAAAGAACCATTTTGCGGAGCACAGGATGAAATGCATATGAGATCATATATTGAACAGTTGAGCAGTTATTGCAGGGCTGTTCTCTTGGATACTGTGTTTGAAACACTGGTCAATTTCACATTTTATCTTTGTATACTCATTCCCCTGCAACTGTCATACTTTAATGTGTCGTTAATAATTCATTCAATAATCATTCTAAATTTTTCAGATATGTGTGTGTTCAAGAAATTGACTTAGAATATGAGTGGAAGGCATTCCAACATATCCAGTGAGTCTGGGTTAGAGCACTCTGGTGCTTTATTGACTAGTGAACTAGACCTGTCTCATACTCATGACAACTCACTCGGATCACAGAGTGTACCTACTACTGTGAGCAGCTCATCTGGTAATACATTCCAATATAACTCTCTCAGTTTACGCAATAATTCATCAAGAAGTGCATCTAATGGACCAGCTAGCAATGGCACACAAGGTGAATACAGTGTATATTTATTTTCATTCTAATCTTGTGTGTGATAAAACCCTAGGGTGCTTCGGGCATATAAAAAGTTGACAATTCTGCTATTGACCAGTAGGTCGAGAGGACACCAATCACACATCTTTGCCAGCCAAGAATCTGTTTATTCAGCCTATGCCTCACAACTATATCTTGGCTGATTCTATTTAGCATATGTGTATATAAGTGTGCCCTGTACCAGTTCAATCACCAATAGAAACACATATGAATAAAAAATTGCATTTGTTATAAATATTACTTATTTTAGCCATAAAACACCGATCAGTAATTTACATAGTATATGTGTTACTAATAGAGCAATTACAGTATTTAGTTTTATGTCCACTGCCATGTGCTAGGACAACACTGATTTTATTACACATATTTTATTACACATATTTTATTTTACTTAACAAGTTCTTCCAATCAAATATTTATTTTACCAAGGTCAAATTCCTGACCTCTCTGTATAATCACACAAAGGTTCATGTTGGAATATGTTTACATCAAGTTCACGAAAACTGTGCAATTCAGACAGAACCCATCACTTGTGCTTTTATTGGAGATGCTCTTCCAATAAAGCAAATATGGTATATGGCTTCTAATAATCATGATTCTGGATCAATCGTAGCATCTATTTAAATTTCATCTTGCAGCTATCCTGGTTTCCACTCCACCTGTTCCCCCAACAAAGAATGCAAGTCAAATTAAAAGACAACCAATAGATTTGATGTCTAGGCTATATGATAAAGGAGTGGATTCTCAGGTGTTGCAGACCATTCATACAGCTGCTGTGAGTGATGTTAACAGGAAACCCATGCGAGGACAGGTAATGTCTAACATTCTATCTACCGGTATGTACTGTGTTGTGACGTGGTGTGGTGGCTTTTTAATCCATTTTTTTTAGTCCCCGTTCGGACGGAGTCCGAAAACGAGGACTTATGTTTTGCCCTGTGTGCGTCCGTCCGTCCGTCCGTGCGTCCGTGATCACCTGTATCTCGAACATGCATGGACCGATTATGTTCAAACTTCACTCATACATCACACATTATATGGGACATATGCACATGCATTTTTTTCATGATCCGATTAACGATAGCCGAATAGCGTCCATTTTAAGGCCGAAAATGCATCAAAATCGCACATTTTCACCATTCCGGACCCGGATCTCAGTTATGCATGGACGGATTTCGTTCAAATTTGGTACATACATTAAACATAATAGGACCTTGATGCATGTCATTTTTTTTTTCGGATCAAGTTCGAAATGGCCGACTGGCGGCCATTTTGTTTTAAAGAATTCAGTTCTGGATCCGTATCCGAGACATGTCTGGATTGATCAAGTTCAAACTTCACACACACAAGGTACATCATGTCACAAATATGTATGTGCATTTGTTTCATGATCCCAT